ATGGTGCCAACTTGGGCCAGTGAAGCAACATCCTCCACAACTAGATTGAAGAACAAAACGACAGCAACTTGTCTGTTCCCCTTCCCCCAACTCCCAAGCACTGTTCCCATCCCCCCAATTCCCCAATAAAAAAAATCTTAAAAAAAAAAATCGAACTCAGAGGGCAGTAAAGAACTCCCCACTGGCCCCCTCTCCCCCTGGGGTCAGCCCCATGGCCTAGAGGACATGGGGAGGCGGGTGTGGATGGAGCTGGTGCCCTGGGAGCCTGACGGGGCTGCAGCTGCAGGGGACAGGGCGAAAGGACATTTTCTGTCATCACACTCAGGAGGAGTTAGTTATCAATGGCTGACCATGGACTAGTCACCAGCTACCATAATCAACACTGGACACGTCCTCACTGAGGCCCACACTGGCCACACTGTGGTCACTTGGGTGGTGTGAGTCCCTGATGCCTCTTCAGTCTGGCTCTCAATCCGAGTATCTCAAACGAGAAGGACTATGAACACAACAGAACATCCTTGATAAGAAGAAATTCCCACTTGTTTTCTGTGTAATAAGGGTACGTCTGTGCTATCAATGTGTCTGCATTTGGGGACCCTGCAGATGCTGCCCTGGTCTCCACGCATGGGAGCATCAGTGCTGATAGCTGCAGGGCCGCAAGCACATGTCCAGTGGATGGGTGTACGGCTGCTGTCAGAGCCTCCCGTGCTCCAGCAGCCCGGTGGGGCCAGGCTGCTTTTCACCCTTTGGTTACATTCACTCTCCATTTTCAGTAGTAGCACATACACAAAATAAGACGCGTTGGGATATTTGATAAGAGTAGTGTCCTATGAATAGAAAATAAATCCGTATTTAACAGGGCCTCGTCCCTACCACGTCAGAATTTACTCAGTTGCCTGATAGGGGTCCTCAAATGACTGGAGCTCCTAGCTTTTATGCCTCACGTTCCTCATTCATAAAATGCAAGTAGAGACGCCTTTCCTTCCTACTTCCCAATAAAATGCTGCCCAGAATGGCTAGCTTATTTGTTTTTTTGTGTGTTTTTTAGCTGAGCCATCCTGCCACCTGTTGGCAGCTCAGCTCAGGCTGGGAATCGAACCGGTGACCCTGTTGCTCAGAGCTCGCACTCTTGAGCGAGCTCTTAACCAACTGAGCCCCTCGGCCAGCCCTTTTATTTGTTTACTGAACCCAGAGGAAGCTTCTGGTATGGACCATGTCGGGTGAAAAAGCAGCATATCACTGAGGAGGAAGGTGACAGGTGTTTGGGTCCAGGAAGCAAGGCAGACAGTTGGGTAATAACGGTCCTGACTGCAGCAGCTGCCTACAGCTTCTGAGAGGCAGGCGGACGGGAGGAATTCACTCCCAGGTCACAGCTGCCACTAGCCAATGAGAAGGTAGAGACAAAGGTAGACAGTGGGGTAGAAAAACATTATTCTGTATAAATAAGATGTTTATTTGTGTCAGTGTTCACATTAGAAAAATACACATACAGGACTTGAATTAGACCTTTTTTGGATAAAATACGTACAAATCCAGGGCTGCGGCTCTGAGTCTGTTTTACAGTGAGGGCTCTGCCTCCACGGTTCCTAGAGGGGCCCTTCCAGTGGGTCCGTGTGCAGGGCAGGCCCTGCTGCATCGGTCAGTGTGACAATGTCCTCCCCAGACACTATGGAACCCGGATGGGACAAGATCAGCCCGTCAGAAGTCTGAATAAATATCTGCTCCTGTCCTTGGGACAACAACTCGTGGCACCCATTGGTAATTTCAAAAGCCATGGCTTCACCAACAGCAACGATGCCCTCCAGTCCTCTTGGGTCGGTGTGCGACCCGGGTCCGCAGGAAAGTTGGTCCAAGTCCCCCACATGGCTGCTGAGGCTCTGTTCAGCAGACAGGGCTCCGTCCCGGCCGAGCTGAGGCCCTGGCTCAGACCCGGTGCTATCGGCACAGTCCGCTGGCACAACACCCATGGGCAGGACTTTCTCCAGCGGAGGGGCTGCGACCTCCATAAGCAGGGCCTCACCAGGGCTGGGCTGCCAGCCTCCCAGCTGGTACTCTGGCATCTCGTGGAGCTTTCCAGCCTCGGCGTTTCCAGACCTGCCAGGCCGCAAGGCCGCCGCCACTCCTCCCGCGGGCATCAAGCTGCTGCCGAGACCCGGGCTCCTCGGGCTGTCCCCAGCGTTCAAGTCTGAAGCGTTTCCCTGAGCATTCTGTACGGGGAACGCTGCCCCCTGCCCCTGGGTCAGCAACCCAGGCCCTCCCAACTGAGTATGAGGACCCGGCCCACTGACAGCCTGATAGTGGGGAGCAGGGTCTGCAGCCCTGCCCCCCGCTGCTAGGTCAGCAAGTGCTTTAAGCTGCTGGCCGGCCTGTGATATGCTTGTGTGGCTCCCCGAAGCGGGCATCGTGTGGCCTTCCTCAGGACGGTGGGAGGCGTCCCCATTTACTCGGGGGTCTAAACCTACACAGTGTGGGAAAACCGGTAATCATGCGTGTGCTCTTCACTGCACTCACTGTCCACATTCATTTTCTTGCCAAAAAATAAAAACAAACTCTCCTTGCTACTTGGATTGGTAGCTTCCGGATACAGATTGAGTTCCAAGAGGAAATCCAGGCCAGCGAGGCAAAGGGGCCGGATTCCAAACAGGTGCCAGAGGGATTTCAGTGTCCTCAAGGAATAAGTCTGCCCTCCCCTATGGCAGAATTAAGTAATATTGGGTTGTTGGAAACGTCATGATGCATTTTTGCAACAAGAACATAGAAAAAATACATCATGATGTTTCCGACAACCCAATAAATTAAAAAATAGAGAATGCCTCTTTAAACTGGAGACCTTAGCATCAGGCAAGGGATCAGGTGGCCCTGATAAGATTTTAGGAAGTTTATAATTATTCTCATTATGCCCAAGTGTCTAATTGATAGGCTCTGGCCAGAGCCGGAATAAAAGCCAGAATATGTCTTGTTTTCAAAGATTACCCCTCAGCTGGCTCTTAGAGCAAGTCTCACGAAAGCCAAGCCACCGACTCAGCCAGCCCTGGCACCCGCCCTCTCTCAGGGCTGCCCACCATCTCGGGCCCTTGGGCATACCACCCACCACCAGGCAACAGCGCTTCATTTCAATACAGGACCCACGAAAACCTCAAAGACCTCCAGACTCACGGGGATCAATACGGAACAACAGAATGTGGGGAGGCTGGAACAAAGCTCTGGAGAACCAGAGGCTTCTCTTAAACGCGGCCACAGGGGAGCCCAACCCCGAAAAGCGGGCCTCTGAGGCGCGGGGCGTGACCACTTACCCTCACTGGCCGTTGGGGCACACACGGCCGCCCTCCCTGGGCCTCCGCTCTTGGCAGAAGACTCCATGGTGTCCTTGGGCAGAGATGCCCTTCGGGTCCTTTTCGCAGAGACCAGCTCCTCCTCTGCGGCCTAGAAGAGAGGACCCATCAGCTAAGACCAGGAAGAAACAGGCCAACAGGGTTGCGAGCTGCAAGCCAAAGCACAAATTCACCACCAAACAGACGGCAGCCTGGAGCCCCCACACCTGGCCTACCTCCTTCTCCCTCTTCTGCCAGCGGGCTGCCTCTTCCTCCTCCCTGCCCACCTCTCGGCTGGGGCACGCGGGCAGACTGCGACCTTTTCTCCTCAGGAATTCTCCTGTGATTCCTAGTGACTCAGCGACCTGAGAGGAGAGGGACGCTTCACTCAAAACATGTCAACACGCAGGAATCGAAGGCCTGCGTTTAAATTTATGAAGTCCCTTTGTACGGTGAGGCGCCGTCCAAACAGTGAGAAAAATGAAGATCAATGCGGAGTGGATGGAATAGCTGGTGATAAAATGGACCACTATCAGAGCCAGAGGTTCTGTGTTGGCAGTTTAGAAGACACTGAAAAGGTCTTTAAAAAAATTTAACATGTTCTTTAGCGTCACCATAAGCTTAATAATGTTACCTGACACCAAGGTAACTTCCTTGCCCCTTAGGCCTCCTGTTTTGAATTCTCATTGGTACCTTCAGAAAACTAATGCTGCCTATCCTGAAACCAGACCGCCTTTCCCAGTTGGTGGAGGGATGTGGGTTTGGGGGCCCGAGGGTCCAAGCTGGGCCCCAGTTCTCTGCTCACAGTCTGGGTGATGTTGGCAGCCACCTTGCACCTATCAGAGTCTTCGTTTCCTCCCCGTACAGCTGCCGTGAAGGGATTTGGTGACGATTAGGTAAGATTCCATATGTAAAGCGTATGTGATGTCACAGAGAACACATAGACCATGGGGTTCGGGGGGGGGGCGATGGCAGCAGATCGAGGTCAGGAGAGAGAACAGGGTCGGCAAGTTTAGCACCTACCGACCTGACAGTGTGCCCTCACAAACAGTGCAGGGACTCCGCCAGTCAGTGACATGCTCATCGGCAGGGACAGTGGGGACGAGCCCCCGAGACTCCATGCTGGACACAGTGAGGGGCCCCTGAACGACCTGACCACGCAGTACGTGCGATGCCCATCCAACAGTTTTATCCAAAAAAAGTCAAATCAGTTCAAAGCATATTTTTGTTAAGGACCCAATATAGCTAAAGGTAATTTCACAATGACAATGACATTGAAATGAGAAATTTCAACATAAACAGTAACTGTTGGTCCCCATGTAACTTATCCCCCAAAACCTACCTAATGAAAAAAACGACACACCCCACTAACCGTGGTGGTAACTGTGATTATCAGCAGTGAGGGAGAGAGGGGGTTATGAGTGTTTACAATTTTCTTTTAGCTTACCTGCATTTCTGAGTTTTCTGAAAAAAGCATTTATTACTTTTATATTAAGAGAAAAAAAAATCTGCACTTGATGAGACAAAGAGCTAAAAAAAGAAGTTGACAATGAAGAGGTCACTACAGAAATAAACATTCTCCGTTTTAGTGGCCACCCTTCCTTTGGCTCCCTCTACGAGCAAAACTCTTTTCCCCGTGAGACTGTTACCTCATTACTGTTTATTTCCAGGGCCTCCTGAGAACACGGGCCAGAACTACGGAGGTAATCTTGGCACATTTTCTTAACCATTTTATGCAACTCTTCAAATTCCTTGTACACGGCTGGGAAAAAAGGCTTTGCTAGATGACCTTTTTCAACCTTAGTGAAGATAAAGATGACAAAAATGTTTGAACCCGAGGCGGTGAGATGGAAAATACAGAAGGAAATTTAAAGGCGGGGAGGAAGGATACAAGAGCCTCGAGCCCTCAGCGGCCTGTCATGGCGGGCGTTTCCTTCACTCCCCAGTGAGATCCGAGTGTGTGACCAGCACTGTGCTGGGCAGGGGACACCAGAACGGACCTGGGGAGAAGCGGCCACCAGAGGACCTGCAGGGGAGCAGGACGGGCCCTCAGGCAGAAAGGCCCTGAGGATGGGGCATGTTCTGGGGCCTGCAGGTGGGAGGGGGGCCAGGCCTGCACTGCCCTGGACAGTCGTGTTGCCTCCCGGAAGTGTGGGCGCAGGCGGCCTAGGCTGTGCTGTCAGAGGTGGGGGGTGGGGGGAGGGTGGCACTGGTGGGTGCCCAGCAAAAGGGCGACAAGGGCCATGCTGGCCCAGGTCTGTCAGACCCCATGCCAGGCATCTGGCGGGACCAGCAGGCTCCCTCCCTTCAGCTCTGTCCTGGGGGGTGGGGGTGGGGGGGGTGGCGGGAATGATTCCAACAGGCCTGGCTCTTCCTGGGTAGCTTCTAATCACCCCTAACTCATTCAGGAACGCTAAGAAGACTCACCTTTGTCAGAAGAAACTCATACACGGTCACAACCTGAGCCAGCTGAGGCAGAGCCAATTCCACGAGCTCCTCCCGGTCACACTGGTGGAGACACTACCAGAAGAAAGCATTTGACATCTTTGAAAGCCCGCAAGAATTTCCTAGTCACCAACAAGTTAGTGTAACCAAGAACATAAAAGAAAGTTCCCCCAGGCCGGACAAGTGGCTCAGTTGGTTAAGAGCTCGCTCAAGAGTTTGAGCTCTGAGCAACAGCGGTTCGAGTCCAGCCTGAGCTGAGCAGCCGCTGAGCTGCCAACAGGTAGCAGGATGGCTCAGCTAAAAAAAAAAAAAAAAAAAAAAAGAAAGTTCCCCCAAATCTTAGTGATTAAGCCACTCTGAACTAGAAACGTCCTGCTTTATTAAATATCCCACTTGTTCACCCATTAACAGAGTCCTATGATCAATTCTGGATTCAGAGTGTGCCTCCCCTGTGGCAGCACTGAGTGCGCAGTGGGTACCAGGCCCTGAATAAGGACACAGCAATGGCGAAACACGTTCCCTGCTCTCCAGGGCTCACCAGCCAGTGCCAGAGACGAAATACAAACAAGTCCCAAGGCGGCCCACAGTCAGAACACCAGCGCCAAAGTACAGGTGGGAGAAGATGAGGACCCAGGTGACGGCAGGGCTGGGTGGGTATCGGGGAGGGACAGGTGCAGGGAGGGCACAGTCTTCAGGCCTTAGTGACCGCTGGACATGGGCAGGCGTGAGTGAAGGGGAGAGGGGAGCTACAGGTGCCTCTGGGCTCCCAGGTGAGCACCCAGGCAGACCCTTTACAAGGTAGGGGTGGGACAGGAAGCCAGCTGTGGGCTTTGCTGGGACAAGGAAGGTGGTGGGGATGTTTGAAATCGGAGCTCTGAGGCTCGGGCTAGGACAGTCAGATGTGGGAGTCAGCAGAGGGAAAATGGGGGGAGGAACCAGGAGGGTGGGTGAGCTCACCCAGGGCAGCAGTAAGGTGACAGGAAAGGTGGGCAGTCCTAGAGACAGGAAGTCTTAGGAGGCTCAGGGAGGTCAGAAGAGCCATCAGTCAGGAGCTGCAAGGGCTGAGAGGGGGTTCAGACAGCAGAAGATGGCCCGGAAAGAGTCAGAAAAGCAAAAGGAAAACCTTTCATTTGCAAGACAAAAGTGTCTAATTATGACTTACAAGAGCCCTTCAAGAAAAATGTTTCAGCCAGTTTCCAACAGTCCAAGGGGTGTGGGAGGTTAGAATGTGGGTGTCAGGTCACCACGCCTGGCCGACAGCACCCAGGGTACCTCCTCAGTTCCCTGCTTCACACTCTCGGCCACCAGGCAGTTCTGTCACCACTCATTTGGCTGGCATCTTTCCCCAAAGTGGGGGCCGTGTCTATCTTACACACACTGTGCCCTCAACACCCAGAGAGGGCCTGACGCTTGACGCGCAGTCAGTGTGTAAACGAATGCCCGTTTCTGGGGGGGTTCTCACGGAGAAGAGTCAAGAGTGGTCCTGTTCAGCTCTGTATGACGGATGTGGCACTAAATCAGCTGATAGTGTCACCATGTTAGAGTCACTGTTACACAGAGCAGACAGGCCTCACAGATCTCAGATGCCCCATCGCATGCTCCTACTCAGCAGGTACCCAACATTCGAGTTCTGGACCTGCCACCTACCTGTGGGGTGACCGTGTACAAGTCATTAGCCTGAGTTTCACGTTCTTCGTCCATTAAGTCAATAATTATGGAATCAGGGAAATGAGGTGCACCTGGAACTCGGCACGAGGCTTGGGTCAGTGTGGCCGAGTGTTCAATAGACGTTAATTTGTGAACCCCTCAGCTCCTGAAAACTAGTCACCCAGATTAACCAACAAGCTCCGGGGAGAAAAGCTAATTCACCTGGGTTTGAACTTCCTGCTAGAACATGTAACCTCACGGGTCTTTCTAGGAAACCCATGCCCTCTCTGAAACCACTTCTTCCTGTGGTGTGCCAGAGTTTGAAGGCCCGGGACACTGACAGCCACTCTCTCTCTCTGGGGCCAGCTGTCTCACTTATCTCACACTGTCTCTTGCTATTTTTCACTTGTTTTCTTGAAGATATACATCTGGCCATTACCAGGCACAGAAATACATCCTAGCCAAAGACAATCTGAGTAAGCTCAGGGTTCCACTTTTCCAAGTCAATTCAACTAAATTCAATAAACTTATTGATACTTTCAAAGGGCTGGAATGGAGGTTCCAGGGTTCAAAACTTGAAACATGTTTCTATACCTTGAAACTTTTTACAAAAAAAACCCAACAAAAAACCCATTTCTGTTGTTATCTAGATGGCTTCCATGAAAACACAGGTCACCATTATTCCATAAAGGCAAGCGGCTCTGGGCATTTCAAACAGGTAAACCTAGGAATTATTTCAGGTAATACTATCCTTGTATTTACTGCATACATCATCTGATTCATTTCAGATGAACCGTCTAGTTGGTCTGGGTGTTTGACCTTTAAATTCAGACACCCACCAGCGAACTGCCACATACACATCGAAGAAACAGTTTCAAGAACAAGGTCTAGGGGCGACGCACCTCCTGGAGCCTGGCTCTGGTCCTCGCTGTGCTCGCGCCTGCGGCCCCCGTACCCCTGTGCAGGTCAGCAGCTCTGCTCTCCTCTAGGCCGGCCGCGCCCAGCTGTGCAGGGGCCGCGGGGCAGCCACTTCTAGGTCCTGGACGTCTCTCTGGTCCCAAAAGGGCTGAAGAACCTCCATCTGCTGGTTCAGATGCCAATGCCTCTTCATCTTCTACAGGCTGCCCATCCTAGACAGTGTTGGAAGGGGCAAAACGGGGTATTACCGCTGGTGCTCCAGGAAGCAGCCCTGTGGGCTGCTGCCCCCAATCCCAACCATTCCTGGCCTCATTGCCATGTCAGCCATCAGCCAAGAGCTCTGCGAGTGTTACACACCAGGCCTAGGAGCTGGCCACTGCGTTTCTGCCGGACTCACTCACTAAACCATGCTACACCAGACAGGGGATGCACTTTTTTTTTCTCTCTCTTACAATATGGTTGCCTTTTATTTCTTTTTTTTTTTTAAGATTTTATTGGGGAATTGGGGGAGGGAACAGCGTTAGAGAATCAGGGGAGAACAAGCAAGTTGCTGTCCTTTTGTTCTTCAGTCTAGTTGTGGAGGACATTGCTTCACTGGCCCATGTTAGTACTATGATCATTGCGCTCTTCCTGGTTAAGGCAGCCGGCTGCTGGCCATTGGACGGCCACTCATTGTGGCTCACGGCAGCTCACGCCAGCTGCCGGCTGCTCACGCTCGTTGCCGGCCACTCATGGTAGCTTACGGCAGCCCACTGCAGCCCCATTGCAGCCTCACTGCAGCCTACACCATCGCCAGCAACTCACGGCAGCCCAGCTCCAGGTCGAGCTGTTGTTCACCATCTTAGCTGTAGAGGGCGTAGCGTCATTGGCCCACGTGGGATCCGAACCAGCGGCCCTGCTGCTTAGAGCTCAAGGGGATGCACATCTGCTCACTTACCGGCAGCACTGCCGACAGTGGTGGGGTCTCAGATCCCCCAATAGGATTTTGGTTCTGCTTGAGCCTTTGCCTGAACCCCCCACCCCAAACACCATGAAAGTTAATTTGAGGATGACAGGCAGGAATAGACACTGTCATCAGATAGTAACATTACCTGTAAGCCACCCCAATGACCCAGGCCCTTCCTCACTTACAAGAGCTGGTGTGGAAAGCCGTGGGGACGTCAGGCTGAGGGTCCTGCCATCAGCACAGCCCCGGATCATACTCCCATTGGCTTTCTCAGACAGCAGCATCTCAGGGTCCAGCTGGCCGTGGCCTGGATTCAGTCTTAAGTGCCGGGCCAGCCCCCCCTTTCCTATGTACGACTTCTCACATGTCTGACACTTGAAGGTTTTGGGCCTCAGCGAGCAGCTCGATAAGTCGAAGAGCACCTGCTTTTCCTTCTGTTCTTCATCTTCTTCCACGCTCAGTTCTGAATAATCGTCGGAATCTGACGGGTGACCGTCGGCCAAATCCTCCGTTTTTATGAATTTATAATCTTTAGCCTTATACTTGGGAGGTCGAGATATCCGCCCAGAACGCGTTTTCACTTTTAAAGATTTTTTCAGTTTTTCAGTGTGGTTTGTATGCAAGTTGGAAATCAGTAAATTTGCTGAACTGGATGAAACAGATGTCAGTGCCGGCGGGTCAGAGGCTGACAAAGGGGCCAACATGGCACCCTGTCCATTCGCAGCCTGGGGGGCGGCGACTCTCTTTGCAGGGACTGGCCGGAGGGCAGGCAGCGGCCTGTGGACAAACACTGGAACGCAAGTCTGAGGTGAGCGGCGGCTCAGGAAATGCGGCTGTGGCTTGGCGCTCAGGAGCGGCTGTGCCCTGAGCAGCTGAGGCCTAGCGACACTGAGCCCCAACACGCTGGTGCATCTCCCAGGCGGCTGGCTCAGCCTGGCTGTTGTGGGCTGAACGGCAGCTAGCGGGGGCATCGGCCTTTCCTGACCTTTTGTTTCTCCAGGTGTTACCTTGACATAAATGGCTTCCAGTTGCTTAAACAGAGAAAGAGAAAAGAAGCACTATGCTTATCCATAGTTCTACAATTTTGCTCTCATCTTAAATCCACTATTGGAATTCTTTTCCTAAATCACAAAATGCATCTCGCATCCATAAAAGTCTATACAATGTATCTGTAGTGTTTATAGTGATGCCTCTTAACCTCTCTGACCAGACCACAGTAATACACTTCAAGTCACACACATAGGTTCCTGCGAAATATTTGCGTACATTAATAGTTCATGAAACCACTTACTATTCCTACATAAAAGCCTTCTGAGAGCATCTATTCTCCATCGCTTAAAAAAAATACTAGTCATAATCCACTGAATGGATTTTATGATCCACTCAGAAATATCCTTCCTCATAAAAGCTTTACCACACGTATTTACTTGGGAGTTCTTGGTGCTCTAAGTTGGACTCAATTCAGAATGTAGGCTCATTTTGTAAAGTTTTTAATGAAATTCTGGAAACCAAAAAAGCCGTAAGGAATCACGTGCCCCAGGTCCCTGCCACCGACCTTGAGACAAGCAGCATCACCAGTGCGGGCCAGACCGCGCCCCTCTTCCCACCGCACGCCCTTTCCTCTGCTGTCCTGGCCCCGCTGCTTCTCCTCCTCATGCCTTTTTTATATCACAGATGCAGTATCCCTAAAAACATCTAGTTCCATTTTGACATGTTTTTAAACTTTATATAAGTGAATATCACCTCTGGCAACTTGGTGGGGCTTTTTCCGGTTGTTGGTTTTTTGTTTTGTTTTGTTTTACTCCCTCTCTTCCTTGTGAAATTAACCGATATCGAGCACGTAGTTCTCAGGGATTCATTTTCTCTGCAGTAGGAGAACATTCTCCCGCTGATGGAGAGGTGGCCTCCAACCCTGCGCTCTTACGGTCTGCTCTGAACCTTCACGGATGTGCGTGTATACATTGCAAGTTTCTCCAGGGCACATACCTACCACTGGTTTTTAACATCTGACAGAATTTTAAATGCATGTGCTTTTTGACCCAGCAATTCTGCTTCTTAGATTCCAGAAGACACACTGGCATAGGCACAAAGATGCATGTCTAGGAGATTCAAGGCAGCACTGTGTGTAACAGCAAAGCATCACTAAAGGGAGGGCTGCCATCAGCAATGTTCCACGCGTCAGAGACAATGTTACAAGTGTCAGGAATACAGCTGTCATGGACTCAGCGGAGGGGCAGCAACAATGACAAGGTTCCTGCCTTCACAGAGCAGAAATGATGAGCATCTTTCTCCAGGGAGAGAAGAGGGACAGACATCGTCCAGATCAGACTTTGTCAACCCTGGCATGAGTGACATCTCGGACCAGCATCCTTTGTTGGGATGGCCATCCTGTGAGCTGTAGGGTGTTGAGCTGCATCTCTGCCTCTACCCAGAAGATGCCAGTAGCACCCCTATGGTGTGACAATCAAAAATGTCTCCAGACATCACTAAATGCCCCCTGCAGGACAAAGTCGCCCCCAGTTTTTTCAATAAAAATGTCAGAGCAGAATGAACACCCTCACTGAAATCAAGGTGGAGTACCTCTCTCTGTGTGCATGTTACATGCCTACTGCAACCAGCAGAGACAATTGAATAGACTGGTTTATGAAGACGTGCACAGAGCTGGTGCCAGCATCCCCGGAGTCCCCATTCCTGGACTACTGTGAATCAAATGACTAGATTCATTTTGCATATCTCTAATAATCACATTTGTTTCATTTTACTACATTACTTATTATAGAATGTTTCTCTAAGCTCTTGGGACACTACCTGATAATGACATGAAACACACACACACACACACACACACACACACACACACACACGCCCCCCACCCCCCAAACCCCATTGTTTTAGGATTACCACAGTGGCAAAACTGGTGCAAGTTTTTAACTGCTACTGAGACTAGTTTGCCATGTATTAGACTTGATACTTGGTTACATGTTCATCTCATTCAGCATGTCTCCGGTACCAGTACATAAACATAAACCATGCCCTCACCTCGCCCTTGAGGTGGGCAGGTCCCCCTGCCATGCCCCAGTCACCGGCACACCTCCTGAATCAGGGTCCCCTGCCCCAAAATCTGTACTTTTAAAAGCTCTGCTGATGACTCTGCAGGCAGACTAGGCTCCCTAAGGGATGCAGGCAGGAAACAGTCACACCACAGTGCAATGTGTGTGGTGAGAAGCAGGAGGCAGGAACAGCCCAGGGATGGTAGGCTTCCCAGAAGAGGGGAGCTCTGCGGGGTGCCTAGGGGGTGAGATGAATTTTTGCGGGTGGAAAAGGTATTCTAGGTGTAAGGAAAAACACGGGTGAGCTCATGGACGCATGAAAAAAGGCAGTGTGTCAGAGGAAGCTAGAAGTTTCTGTGGGGCAGGAACAGGATGGGGAGGGACAGAGCCAACATCTGACCTGTGGGAGAGTGTCCACATGGTCTGTGCCTTCTGATCTGCACCACCCCCAGGACACCACAGACCCTCTAAATGCACACCCCCACCTCAAAACTGCCTCTCCTCCCTCTTCCGTATTTTCAGCTCCCATCCACTAGTTTAGATGCCACCTCTTCCACAAAGTTGCTTCTGATTCCCTCAGCCAGAAACAACCTCTCCCTTTCTCTAAAATGCATTTAGTTCTTTACCTGTCTCTAGCTTTCTGACCTGGATTAGAAGTTATCTGAGTCCCGTTTTACCTCCTTGGTTGGATTATAATCTCCTTAAGGGGCAAGGTCCACAACTGGTTTGCCCCTGTGGCCTCCACCGCACAGCTGGGGCTCAGAGTATCAGCTGAATAGGCTGCACAATTACATTACCATGAAGGCAGGTAAAACTGACATCATTCCAATAAGATTAGCTGTAGAATGTGATCATGCCACCTAACTCAATCAGAGTTGGCTTTCATTTGATGGAAAAATGTCATTTTTAGACTTTTTCCTAAGTTGCCACACCCAACCCAAAAAGCTGTGGCCACATTCAACGGGCCCTGGAGTGCAGCCACATCTGGGGGACCCTGGGCAGAGTCACTCAACCTCTCTGAGCTTGTCCCTCGTCGTAAAATTCTGGTACACACTCTTTTGTGTCACTGCTGAGAACTAAGCACCCAGCACAGTGCCGGGCCCGCAGAGGCTCGGCAAGCGTCAGCCACTGTCACCCTTCTGACTCCACAGACCTGCCTGCCCGACTTATCTGGGAGGCGATTATGAGCCAGAAAGCTCATCCAATGAGCCATACCTCCTGCAAACAAGGAAATCAAAGCCCAAAGAGGTTGAGTTACCCAAGGTCACACTTCTAGGAAGTAGTTTGGGCAGAATCACACTTGCCTTCTAACTTTAGCAAGACACCGCTCCACTCTTGATGACCCACTGGGTAAAACTCTAAGCAGCCAAAATCACCCAGTCACAAAAACAATGAGGATTATTGATTCTATTCTCTACCTAATTCTTCTAGTGAAAGCGCCCCTCGGCAGCTTTGGGGTGAAAAGCATCTGTCATTTACAAATCCGGTGCTGAAAGGGGATGTGGTCTTACAGATGTGAAAGACCCTGGTCCAATTCCAACTTCCCCGGTAGCTAAGGCCACTGAGAAAGCAGGTTTGGTAGTATACAGGTTGTTTATGTGTATTTCATTCATTAAGTGTATGGCAGGCACTGTGCTGGGCACTGGGGTTACAAATCCAGGCACTACACGCAAGAGTGTGGGAAGTCCTGCATCAAATGCTACAATGTACGCAATTCTGTCCCAAGTCCAGGCGGTGGTGGCATCTGCAGCACTTCCCACCTGAAAACGACTGTGTTTCCTTTTAATGCACTCAGGTCTCAGTTCCAGTGTCAAGCCTAAGGAGTGCTCAGTCCAAAGCGGCCCCCTTGTCACTCCCATTGATTGTGTTCAAGGTTGCACGTCCAGTCAGTGCCCAGTAAGTGCGGGACGAATGGGCAGGGGCCTGAAGGGGCTGGGCGGCACGGAGGAGCCCGTGAAAGCAGAGAAGGCGTGAGGGCGTCCAGGCAGAGAGCCCAGCGTGGGCAAAGGCTCGTAGAGCGAGGGGTGCTGGAGGGAGGGGTTGACATCGCCGGGGCGGTGGCAGGTGGGGCAGGTCTGCCGTCCCTACGGAGCTTAGTGCGAGACACTGAGTTTTAACGCGGGCGAAGACCGGCCTCTCCGGCCCGGTAGCTGTAAGGCCGATGAAGTGAAGCGGGGCGCGGGCCCCGGCCTGCCCGCCGCGAGGCCTGGTCCCCCGGCCTCAGTTTCCCCACGCCCCTCCCGGCGCCTCACCTGGGGCGGCAGCAGGCGCGGCGGGCGCGGGGGCTCGGCGCCGGGGCCCCGCTGCAGGGCGGCCTGCTGAGCCGCGTCCCGCAGCCGCCGCGCCGCGTCCTGCAGCACGAAGGGTGGCGGCGGCGGCTGGGCAGGCGGCTGCGCCTTTGTCACCTGCTCCAGGACCCGCCGCAGCTGCTCAGGGCCCAGCGGGGCCACACGGGTGGCGCTGCCGCTCTGGCCGGGGAGAGCCCGGCCGCCGCCGCCGCCGCCGCCGCCGCCATCCTCGCTGCCGTCCTCAGCCTCTGGCTCCGCGTCCGCCATGGCGGCCGAGGCGGGGACTCGAACCGGGACCGTCCGACGACGGCGACTCAAATGTGCGTCACCTGGGAAAGGGGCGGCTACGAGTGCCCCGCAGGCCAATACACCTCGGAAGGCGACCGCACCTCACAGGGCAGGTCGGTGGGCGGGGTCGGAGCTGGCCCCGCCCCGCCGCCCCTTCAGCCAGGACAGACTCAGCCGGCCGAGAGATGCTTGTGAACTTATTTAACCGTCAGATGATGCCTCCTCCGGAAACTGTTCAGGGTCTCCCAGGCGGAGGTCTCCTATGTTCCAGAGCCCCTGGCCTGACATCACACTATCCAAGTATTCTCAACGTCACATTCATCAGCCACCTGATTCCTCCTCGTTCCCACTTCGATACCTTCTGATTTAATAGATCTGGGAGGGGATTCAAAGTGCGCGTTTTTTAACAAGTGTGTTCCCAACCCCCAAATTATTCCCAGGCGACCCACCCCGCCCTGCCCACTCACCCAGAAGGGGCGCACCTTGAGGGTCGAGATGACAGTTTATTCATTTAGTGCCCAGCACAGGCTCTGTGCCCAGAGTGCACGTTCAGAGAATGAATGATGAATGGTGAATATGAATGAATGAATGAATGAATGAGCGAAAGAACTAATGAATCATCTCCTTACCTGTCTTCGGTCCCCAGCTCTCCTTCAGCCCATCCTTTCCTAGTGTCCTCTCCTCTGTGCTCTCCTGGCTCTGTGTGTCCTATAGCAGCTGGTGTGTGCACCAGGCTCAGCTTCCCTCCCCAAGGAGGGCAGTCAGGCCATTGGTCAACAAACTTAGTAAATGTCTGTTGGGTGTCCTGCCCTCCATATACCAGTTTAGGCAGGAAGAAGTTGGAAACAGAAATTTGCAGTATAATATGATGAGTGCCATGAAGCCCTTAAGTGGGGAGGCTGGGGTCTAGGTTGGCTTCTGAGGTTCTGGAAGACTTTCTGATCATTTTCTCTCCACAGGACCATCACCATCATCACCATCGTCATCAATACTCACTATGTTCCCACAAATGCTCTAAATTCGTTAGGAGCCTCACTGAGGATTGGCCAGGGGGGAGATCAGATTTGTGGAATTTGTTTCAGTTGCTTAGTCCTTTCGTTTTTCTTTTTTTGTTAAACTTTTACAAGGAAGTCCTTCCCATCCTTCCATCCTCAGATGTCAGAAAGGTTCCTCCTGACCCCTAAGCCAAGAACTTCCCCCTTCATATAGAACATGGTACCCCATTTTATCTTTTCAAAACTGTCAGGGGGGAAAAATTTTCCCTCTACCCATTTAGGTTTGGTTTGGGGTGGCAAATTAAACTAACAAAAGACAGGTTAACAAGAGAAAGACAAAATTTAGTCATGTATTTTTATTAATATACCTACAAAAATTCACAGAAAAATGTGACTCAAAAGAGGCAGTAAGAATGTAGGACTTGTACGTTATCTTAAAAGGGGAAGAGACGGAGGGAAGGGCACTTACAGGAACACATGACTTTTAGGAAAGGTAAGTAGGCCTTACCTAGAGTAGATGGGCAATAAGATAGTTCTGTGACAATGCCTGTTGAGGTGTGCTGCCAACTTCTCTCCAGTGACAAGGGTTATGACAATTGGATTCTTCTGAGTTCTTTTGGAAGGCTCTGCTTTTAGACAGAGAAGACTGTTCAGGAACTCAAATGCCTCCTGCTCGAAATATTTTTTTATGCCACAGAAGCATATTCCTGACCCCATCAAAGCCTTGTTCAGGAAAGTGCACTCTGCCGGCAGCACTCTCGGATGCCTCCTCCTCTGCTGGGTCCCTGAATCTAACAAGGAGCCTGAGGCAGACATCCCAAGTGTGACAGACAGCATGTGTGCAGGAGTCTGTTGTAGGTTTGTGCAGCCCCGGGTTCTCCTTCTCGCTGCTCATAATAACAACGGTCCCATCACTGGCATTGAGGGAGCACCTTTACCATACACTGAGTACTTGCTCGGACTTTACAGCGGTGATCTATAGACTTGAGCTGCAATTTATTTAAGAGTTTAAAACGCGTTTGAGAAAAGAATGAACGACTTAGTAGATGTTCTCACTGGAGATTTTTCAAAGATGGCAGAGGCCCTGCTGTATCCTGATATAAAATGGCATTGACCCTGAACACGCCTAACCACATCTTCAGACTTGAACCATGAGTGAAAAATTCACCCAGCTGCCGTACGGCTGCAAACTGCAGAACCAAGAGGAAGAAATGTGAAGCCTGAGATCTGTCTGAAAAGCAAAAAAAAAAAAAGAAAAAGAAAAGAAAAATAAAAAAATAGCAAGAGGTTTCCAGGTGCTTCCACAACTAGAATGCCATTTGTGTCTCTCACTTACTGTGTTGCTCCGGGTCTAGAAGATGCCCAGCACTCAGAAGTCTCTCCATAAACATTTGTTGCATGAATTAATTCCAAGTCTGGATTTTCAACTCTAAGAACGCCATAGAACCGGGGTCTCCGCAGAAGGCCCTCAGAAGCTCTACATTAGAAAGTAACTGGCCGGCGACTGGTCTGCCTCGCCTGGGAGGAGCGCGGTGATGGTGCCAACTTGGGCCAGTGAAGCGGCGTCCTCCACAACTAGACTGAAGAACAAAACCACAGCAACTTGTCTGTTCCCCTTCCCCCGATTCCCCAGCGCTGTTCCCATCCCCCCAATTCCCCAATAAAACTCTTTATAAAAGAAAGAAAGAAAGAAAGAAAGAAAGAAAGAAAGAAAGAAAGAAAGAAA